GGGCCCTCTGTCCTCCCAGGGCTCCCTCTCCTCCAAGGTTCTCTCCTCTCCTCCCAGAGCCTTTTGCTCTTCCCAGCAGCAGCGCCGGGGCCCGGGAGGCAGCACAGGGAGGGGACTGCAAATGGAAAATAACTGTGGGTGTGATGTTGGACCTTGGAGAGCAGCAAAGGGAAGGAACATTTCTCTCCCTGCAGTGGCCGAGGCTGGGGCTCTCAGAGCTGCTTTGCTCTCACCCAGGGTCACACCAGAGTATTAGGCCCAGATACTTCGTTTAGCACAGAATGTTCACTCTGGTTTTTTTCTTTATAGACTTGGAAATAATCCATAGCATGTCTTGTAGATTTAATAACTTCATATTGTTTATAAATTATAATTTATTTATATATTATAATCTATAGTATATTTTAATAATTTGCTGTCCCCTTTCCTGCCTGGAAACCAGAGCCACCCTGTCACCTTCTCTTTTTAAACAGCAACAACAAAGCCCTGAGTTAAGGATCTGAGTTTTTCACTGGCCTCTGCTCCAAAAATCCATTATTTTCTGAACACCAGACACAGGAGCTCTGGCTGCTGTCCCAGCCCTGACTTCACCCAACAAGTTAATTGCTTGTACCACGTCCATTACAGTTGTCCAAGCTGACCTCCGACGGCACGGCAGCCTCGTGCCACATTCCCAACATGAGAAAGATTGTTTTATTCCTCCTTCTTGCCATTCCATCGCTCTTTGTTTTGCTTCCAGTGGTCAGTTATAACAGGATTTCGTGTTCACTCTGCCAGTTGCCCGGATAAAAGCAGTGTTTAATTATACAGCAGCCCTGAAAGGAGATGCAGGAGATCCTCCTGTGATGGAAATTCCACCGCTCCCAGAAGGATGCCAGTGATGAGGCTGATTCCTTGCTGGCAAAACCTTTGCTTATCCAGGAGCAATTTGGCTGAATCCACCATCTTATTTGACAGGCAAGTTAAGAAATGTTTTTGAATATGCTCTTGGATTGTTTAACCACTGTTTACTTTGAAACAAACTCTCCTGCTAGAAAGATCAGGCTCGATTTGCTTTCTTGTTGTTGTTGGGTTTGCTTTATTTTTCTGGTGAACTTTTGTTTTGATTTGTGGGGGTTTGGGGGCTTTTTGTGAAGCAAACCTGCACTGGGGGAGATGAGGCGTGTCCCCAGCACAGCCAAGTGTCAGGCAGTGGGACTGTGCCCGTGGGTTGTGGAGACACAGATGGCACTTTGGTTTCTGGGTGCCTGGTCCTACCTGGAGTGGTACCGGTGCCTCAAACCCCAGTGCCAGCTTCCCTGGTGTGGCATTCTTTGGGTGAGAAAAGCACAGCAGCTTCATTCTTGTCCCAGGAGGTCTCCAGCCTGTGCTGGTGGGAGGACACAGCTCCCAAGGTTGAACAGGGCATGGAAAGGACGTGTTCACTGTCCCTGGTTGCTCAGAGTGACTTGTGCCGGGAGTTGGGTTTGGTGCACGAATGACTCACTGGGAAGTGAAGCACAAAACATCACATTGAAATGACTTTCCCACCATTCCCATATGCTTCTGTCAATATTCCCATTAAAGACATAAAGCACTGGGTAGTGCAATGGCATCACTTTCTGAGTGGTTCCAGATTCCAGCTCCAGCTCTGCCGTGAGTTGCTGTGTCACACGTGGGAACGCTGATGCTCTGAGGGTGGGGGAGTGCAGCTTGGAGTGGACATGATTCAACTTTTCTTAGGAATTGCTTGTTGGATCCCCTTAGTTGGCTGTTCTGGTGGGCCATGGGGAGGGGAGGATGTTTTAGTCACACACTCAGGTGTGATACACTCTCTGTCATGTTCAGTCAGCGCTGTCTCACCTCCAGGTGTTCAGCAATCCAAACAGAGATCAGAGAGTCACAGACTCATTTGGGTTGGAAAAGGCCTTTAAGATCATCAAGTCCAAATGCTTCTTTCAAGGCAAACATAGCAGTGTCAGATGCACAGGCTGTTATTATATTTAGTGCCTTGTCTGAGAGGGCCAGGGTGGGCGGAGGTAGCTGAGTGCACACAGTGGATGGAGCTCAGGTATGATGGGAGATATTGTCTGTTTAAGAGTTAAATTCAAAAGGCAGGAGACTGATAACTGATAAACAGGGTTTCTCCAGGCAATGTCCAACAGTACTTGTCACCATGGGAGCCAAGTACTTCACAAGAGTGGAAAAGGGACTGGGCACTTTTATGGATATCAAGAATATCCAGAGTAATGATTAACTATATCAATTTTTGTACTGTAATTAGAATAATTTTTCATGCTTCAGGGCTTGAACCAATTTCTGTATATGAGAGACCAGGAAGAGATTTATGGCAGGAACAGATTAAAGGCATCTGCACACGGCAAAGCTCCAGCCTTTTCTTCTGACACATCTGCTGTTCCAGGACAGGGTCCTGGGCTGGGATGGACCCTGACTCTGCCTTGATCAGCTGTGTCAGTTCCTATGTTCCTTAGGGGATCTGGTGTGGAGTATGGAGACTGATTCTTTAGGTAAACCAAGGTGTGAGGGAAGGAGGATGAAGCAGAGAGCAAGGCCTGGGTGATGGCACAAGCTGGATCACGATAACCAAATTACAATGAAATAATCTTTTGTGATGTTTTCAGTCCATGGAAAAACTAAATTTTGGTCCCAAGCCCGAAAATTATAATTTCTAGTGGAGAACTCCAGCTGCTTTTACTGTTGTTTATGCCTGTTATATCCTGGCCCTGCTGCAAATCTTCTGACCTGCCACGTCTGTCCAGTTCTGCTGCTGCTTCCAAACATCCCCTTTCACCAGGGAACATTCATTGGCTGCTCTGGTTCTGGTGGTATTTGAATAGCACCAGTTTGGAGCCCTTACTGCCAAAAACAAGCGGACACAGAACCAACAAAAAAAGAAGAAAAACTTGGAAAATATGGTAAGGACACAATTAAAAACGCACAGAGATTTGAAGGTGTTCAGATGGTTTAATAATTACTGGAAGATGTGGCATTAATCCCTGGCCAGCTCCCTCTCTGTCAGGACCTGGGCAGCAAAGCCACTCGCTGTGTCTGCCAGACTGGTCACGCTGCAGCACTTCAGTGTGGGGAGATAAAATTTGTCTGGGCCAAAACAGATAAAAACCATCAGTTTTTACTGATGGTTTTTACTGTTACAGCAGTAACAGTTGTGTTACTCTACTTCACTGAAATATAATGTGTTGGAAATGAAGCAATCACTGGAGCTGTCTCTGAGTGACACTTCAGAGGAGTAGCTGAGTTGATGAGAAGCTCAACGTGCCCTGGCCCTGGGCACTGAGAGCCCAGAGCCCCCCGTGCCCTGGGCTGACCCCACAGCGTGGGTAGCGGGGCAAGGGGGATTCTGCCCCTCTGCCCCTCAGGTGAGACCCCCCTGCAGAGCTGCTCCAGCCCTGGGGAACAGCACAGGAGGGACATGGAGCTGCTGGAGAGAGTCCAGAGGAGACACCAAGATGATCAGAGGGTTGAAGCCCCTCTGCTCTGGAGCCAGGCTAGGAGAGCTGGGGGTGCTCACTTGGAGAAGAGAAGGTTCCAGGGAGACCTGAGAGCCCCTTGCAGGGCCTAAAGGGGCTCCAGGAGAGATGGAGAGGGACTGGGGACAAGGGATGGAGGGACAGGACAAGGAGGAATGGCTTTCCCATGCCAGAGGGCAGGGATAGATGGGATATTGGGAAGGAATTCCTCCCTGTGAGGGTGGTGAGGCCCTGGCACAGGGTGCCCAGAGAAGCTGTGGCTGCCCCATCCCTGGAAGCCTCCAAGGCCAGGTTGGATGGGGCTTGGAGCGACCTGGGCTAGTGGAAGGTGTCCCTGCCCATGGCAGGGGGTGGCACTGGATGATATTTAAGGTTCCTTCCATCCAAACCAGTCTGTGGTATGTATTCTCCATTACTCTTGAACTGGGAATACGGCAGGGCGTGGATTTGCTGGTCAGCACAGAATGGCAACAGGTGCTGTCTCTTTGGGTGTTGGAGTTTTGAGTGAAGGAAAATAAACTAGGATGTTGCAGCATCCTCCAGATCTGGGTGTGCAGAACAAAAATGGGTCTGGAGATCTTAAAACAGAAGGATGCATCGCTTCAGATCTGGGAGTACGGGGTTACATCCAAACTCCTCCTCCTCCTCCTCGCGGGCTCCGTCGGTACCCACCTCAGCGGGAGGAGGATCTCGTTTCCATGTCAGAATCCAGATTGCTGCTTTGGCAACGAGAGCCAGCGCTGTGCTGGCGGGCTGCTCCAGCACCCGGCGGGCTGCGGGGCTCTGCGGGTGCGGCCCCCGCTGCTCCCCGGCCGGGCCCGGGCCCCGCGAGCGGGGGGCGCTGCGATCCCGGCCGGGAGAACGAGGAGGATGAGGAGGAGGAGGATGCTCCGGTGGGGCTGAGCGAGTGTCCCCGCGGAGGCGCCTTGACGGGCTCTCCCGAGCCGCTCCCAGCTCCGGCTCCAGACTCCGGCCGCGGGGAGCGGGGTCTCCCCGGACCCCCCTTCCCAGCGCCGGCGGGTCCCCGCGCAACATCTGTAAACACCCATCCCCCGGCGGGGCGGGCGGAGGGGCTGGGGCCGTCCCCATCCCCGGCTCCATCCCATCCACATCCCCATCCCATCCCTATCCCATCCCCATCCCTATCCCACCCTTATCCCATCCCATACCTATCGCACCCCTATCCCATCCCATCCCCAACCCTGTCCCATCCCATTCCTATCCCACCCCTATCCCATCCCTATCGCACCCCTATCCCACCCCAGCCCGCTCCCAGCCGGTCGGGGCGGTGCTGCGGTGGCTGCGCAGCGGCGGCGGGCGGGGCGGGCCGGGGGCGGGCGGCCCCGGCGCTTTAAAGCGGCCGCGGCGGTCGCGGTGCCCAGCGCCGGGAGCCGGGAGCGCGGCGGGCAGGGCGGGCGGGAGCGGCCGAACCCCGCAGCCCTCCCCGGCCATCCCGCCCGGCCCGGCCCCTCGGGAGCGCGGGGCAGCGCCGGGGGCGGCGGCGGCATCACCATGGTCGGGCCGGGCCGGCTGCTGCGGCTGCTGGCGCTGCTCGAGCTGCCCTGCTGCCTCCTGGAGCTGCTGCTCGGGGAGGCGGCCCGCGGGCAGGAGATGTACGCGCCCCACTCCATCCGCCTGGAGGGGGACATCACCCTGGGCGGCCTCTTCCCCGTGCACGCCAAGGGCCCCCCGAGCTCGCCCTGCGGGGACATCAAGAAGGAGAACGGCATCCACAGGCTGGAGGCGATGCTCTACGCGCTGGACCAGATCAACAGCGACCCGGACCTGCTGCCCAACGTCACGCTGGGCGCCCGCATCCTGGACACCTGCTCCCGGGACACCTACGCGCTGGAGCAGTCCCTCACCTTCGTGCAGGCGCTCATCCAGAAGGACACCTCCGACGTGAGGTGCACGAACGGCGAGCCGCCCGTCTTCGTCAAGCCGGAGAAAGTAGTTGGAGTGATCGGGGCGTCGGGAAGTTCCGTGTCCATTATGGTGGCCAACATCCTCCGGCTCTTCCAGGTAGGGCTGCCGGCGCCGGGCCGGGCGGGTGCCGGAGCCCCGGGCCGTGGCGGGGGGCTCTGCCGCCGCTCCCCGCTCCCCTCGTGCCTCTCCAGGTGCTCCATCCGCCTCCCTCCGGAGCAGCTGCCTTCCCTCCCTGCCGCCCTCCCCGTTCCAGCATCCTCCCCCGGCTCCCTTCTCCACGGTGCGTGGCGCTTTCTGGATTTATCGCCCCATTTGCACGAAGCGATCCCTGAGGGAAAGGAGAAAAAAAATAGGAGAGGAAAAGGCGATGGTTGCGCTGGGTTTGCGTTAGTGAGAGCCGTGGCTCGGGGGGATGCGGGCGCAGGGCATCCCAGCGGGACACAGCCGGGACACCGCGCGTGGAAGCCCCGGCGGTGCGGGGCAGGAGCTGGGGCCGCGGCCGCTCACGGCCCAGCGGTCGCGGAAGGTCTGGAAGGGGTCGGAGGGAGCTTTCCCCGGCGGCTCTTGACCGAGATAGGGCTGTGCGGGGCAGCTCCAGCAGCAGCCCCTTCCCGGGTCGGGGTCCCGCTGCCCCCCGGGCCCGTCTGGACGGAGCGGGGACCCGGCAGGGACCCGGGGCTGGGGGTGGTTGCAGCCCGGGAGCGCCGCTCCGCGCCCGCCGAGGCTCCGGCGGCTCCGGGAGGAGCCGAGGGATGAGCAGAGCCAGAGGATTAGAGAACCGTGTGAGTGTGTGCGGGGGAGATGCGCTGCAGCGCCTGCCCGTTTTCCCCCCCGTCTTCCCTCTCACCCCCCGAGCGTGCTGCGATCGTGCCCCTCTCGCCCCCGGGGCTGAACCTCGGTGGGTGTCGGGGCACGGAGACTTGTCACCCCCCGCTCCATCCTCCTCCCCTTCTCCGGTGCCCCAAGCCCGGGAGCGGGCATCTGGCCGGGGCTGAGCCGGGATTCGGTCCCCGGAGGGATGGGGGTGTCCCCCCGGGATGGGGCGTCCTCCCGGGGCCCCGGTGCAGCCGCCGAGCCCCCTCAGCGAGCCCCGGGTGCTCCTCGGCAGCGATCGCGGGTGCGATGACAGTGACAGAAGCGCCACCAGATGCATCGTGAGCAGCGGAGTTCCTCGCTCCCTGTCCTACGCCTTCGCATGCGGAAGGTGGTGGTGGGGTTTATTTTTATTTTTGTGCAGCGGGCGGAGAGATCCCCCGCTTTTCCCAGCTGGAAACTTGTGAGGTTTTCACGGCAAATCCCCTCTGTGCTGTCAGCAGCCGCCGATCCTCCGTATTCCCATCTGTCCGTGCCAGCTCCGGCCGCTGCAGCCGAGGCGAGCGGAGCGCTGCGCCTTCCCACCGCTGCCCCTTCCCACCGCTGCCCCTCGCTCTGCCCAGCCGGGCTCCGTCCTGCCCGTTTCCCTGAAGGAACACCGAGGATCTGGTTTTTCCCTGCTCGCCTCCCCCTCCGGGCACGTTCAAACGCGCTGTATGGCCGCGGATCCAGCGCTGTGCTCAATCCCCGACAATTCGTGCGGCCCCATCGCGCCCGTCTCCTCTTCCCGGCGCTGCCTCGGCGGGCGCAGCCCCGCTGGAGCGTGTGAGGGAGCCTGGCACCGCTCCCACCCCGGGCTGCCTCCCGCTCCACGCTCCTCGCATCGCAAACACCCTTCCCGGGCTGCGAACCAGATGATCTCATGTTCTGCGTGAGCCGGAGCCGCGGAGCGGGGAGGGATGAGCGGAGCTGAAGTTGTCTGAAGTACCGGCTCGGCAGCTGCTGAGCTGCTCGAGGCTCCCACCGGCCAGGAGGGCGGAATTACCCAGCTGTTCCACACCGGGTCTCATCCCGGAGCAAATCCTGGGCGCTCCCTTCCGAGATCTAGTTCAGAAGGAAATCCTGGGCACCGGGAGCCTTTGGGATAATGCCACAATACCTGCAAAATCCGTGGTGATTCATTACGTAATGGAGTTTGCAGAAAATAAGATATTTAGACGGTTTCTGCATTTCTGAGATACTTGTATAAACTAAATATTTTAATGTATTGTGACGAAGCATCTGTTCAAAAGTGCTTTTCAACCAAATCATCCAGAAAGCAGGAACTGGCCCATACTAAGAGATTTTACTGAATATATATTTTACGGCTTGGTTCAGCTGCCTTTAAGCAGATCTTTCATGCAGTAAAACTGTCCCCTATTGTCCTCTCCTCCTTCAAAACACGGTTCAGAACATGTTCCAGCCAGAGAGAAATAGAAAAGAACTATTTTTGGAGGAGAACTGGACCTGTTAAGCAATTAAATGCCATTGTGTGGCAGTGGGTGAGAAGCTGTAAGCTACTGGAAGGAAGAAAACTAAGTAGTCAACACAAAAATCTTGTGAGCCTTTGAAATACTCTCTGAAATTCTTGAGTGTTGCAGCTCAACACTCAGGGGTCACTGTGGGTCCAGTTTGCTTCTCAGGGGTCAATATGGATTTTACTGGCTGTGGCAGTGGGGTGAGGGGTGAGTGAGTGGCTCTTGAACACTTATTTTCATTTCCAGAATGGCTTTTCCCTCATATCTGGTAGATAAAAACTCTTTCCATCTGTGGAGGCTCCTGCAAAGAAATTTTACCTGTGTTTATATTTCTCTGTCAGCATCTTGGAAGAGAAATATTTGTGCTCTATCTTAATGTCGGGAGCAAATCCGTGTGTGTGTGTAACCAAACAGGGCACAGCAGGGGCTCCTCAGCCAGCTCCTGATGCTTCTGGCTCTTTCTCCTCAGGATGGGGAAGGTTCAAGCTCCTCATTCTTCTCTCTGCATGTGAGGTTCTGATATCTCTCCATGCAGCTCCCCTGCCTGTTCCCAATCCACCACGGAGGGTTGGGAGCATCTTCAGCTGCTGCCAACAGGTGGATCAGCCTGGGAAGGCAGTTCCTCTGCCAGGGTCCTCTGGCTGGAATTCATCCATGTAATTACTGTTGGAATTTGTAGGAGATTTCCTTTGGTTAAAAAAAAAAAAAAAGATGATGTGAAGCTTCCATGAGACCTGGGCTTGTTCCTGTGTGATGAGTCCCTCCCCCTGTCTCTGCACCTCTCTCCTCACTTATCCCTGAACTGTGCCTTGGATTGAAGATGGTGGGAATAGTTGTGGGGGGGTTTCCTCCCGGAGTGTGGGGATGGCACGGAGTCCCAGCTGGTGCTGGAGCCAAGGGAAGCTGTAACCCCCCCCTCTCCTGCCTGCCTGAGCTGTCTGTGCTGGTGGAGCCAAGCTGGGACTCGGAGCAGGAGGAGTGGTCACCACTCCCACTGAGTCACACAGGAGGTGTGGACACGCTGGTGGGCACAGAAATTGCCAGTGGGGACAGGATGCCTCCTAAGGCCGTATGTGTGAGGATTCCTCTTCCAAAATGACAACAGATGAGAGGTGGAACTGCCAAGCTTTTACCCCCAGGTTCAGTATCTGCCATTGCCAAGGACTCTGTGTGGGACCTTCCATGAGTTACTACAGTTAAAACATCCAAGAACATCTTCAGGAGCAGGTCAGACCCCCCAGCTGAGCAGGGCTGGGTGTCTGACTCCCTCTGGAAGCCAGTGCAGATGAGCTCTCTCCAGCCTGGCCATGGCTCCTCCTGGGAGGGGTTGAGCTGGGAGGTGCCCCTGCTTGGATGCTTTATTTTTCCATCCCTGTTACTGACCTCCATCCTCTCCAGCAGCAGGGTGGCAGTGCCCTGACAGGAGTTACAGTGGGACACTGTGCCCTCTGGGAATGCATCCCCCCTTCTCCTGGGGGCTGTACCCCATCCCCATCCGGCTGGGAAGGGGCTGCTCAGCCAGGAATGTGGGAGCAGGGCTGTGAGCCCAGGAGTGTGCCCAGGAGTGTACCCAGCCCCAGGGCTGTGAGCCCAGGAGTGTGCCCAGGAGTGTACCCAGCCCCAGGGCTGTGAGCCCAGGAGTGTGCCCAGGAGTGTACCCAGCCCCAGGGCTGTGAGCCCAGGAGTGTGCCCAGGAGTGTACCCAGCCCCAGGGCTGTGAGCCCAGGAGTGTGCCCAGGAGTGTACCCAGCCCCAGGGCTGTGAGCCCAGGAGTGTGCCCAGGAGCGTACCCAGCCCCAGGGCTGTGAGCCCAGGAGCGTGCCCAGCCCCAGGCCTGGCTGTGCTGCAGCTCCTCGGATTAATGCACCACGAGGGACAAGCTGGTGTGTGCTGGAGCGTGGAGATGTCGGTGCACCAACACTCAAGGGTGTCAGTGACTTTTTCAAAACACAGCTCTATTAGAGCACACCAATAAATAGCAGGGTGATTGTAAATTAAATATCTCTCTTAAAAATAACAGAGAAACAATTTGGAAAGCTGTTTCCAAATGCATCAGGGAGTTCAAGGCTGTATGGCTTTAGGCTGCTGGTTTTGCTTTGGGAAAAGTACTGTTCTTTTGCAGGGTCGTGGCTTTCCTTACAAATTTAACTCCATGAAAATTCAGTAACTGCGCTGAAAAAAACATTGCCAAGTGTTTCATATTTTCTGGGAGTTAAACTATTCAATATGAGGAATAACAGCATCCTGATTTCTTTCTTTTTTTTTTTTTTAACACTATAAAACTAATTTTTGGGCTCCCTTACAACTGCAGGCTTCTCATGACAAGCTTCAGCAATGAACAAATTATTGCTTTGGGTTTGTGTCTTTGGTGGATGTAATTTGAAAGAGTCAATCAATAATTGCTTGTTCTTCTCTAAATACCTTTCTGATTTTATCAGGGGTGGCTCTTGTTGCCCAGAGGGGGCTGTTAAAAAACTCAGGGAATTTTTTTAGTTAGAAAAGTGGGATAAGGGAGTGCAGTGAGGTTGGGAGTGTGAATTGGAACGTGCCTGGTCTCCCTGGGGGCTGTTGGCTGCTTTTCCTTCCTGCTGAAGGAGGGAGATGACAGTTGCAGTCCCGCCTTCTGCTCCAGACACAGTAATCACAAAAATGGGATTATTTGGAAAGGGATAGAGCTTAGAAATGCAGCTCTGAGCTGGATGTTGCTCTTTCCTTGGAAATTGCACACCCTTTTCCAAGGCTCTCTGAGGGAGGATGTCCTGGCTG